GGGGGGGGTTGCAAAGGGCAAACACCTCCACTCTGAGGGGGTGTCTTTCAGCAGCCTCTTACTCTCCTTTTACATAAATTTCAAAGGCGTTCCGTTTTTACTTAAGACCTGATAAGATGATAAGACCTGGGTGTGTTTAGCGTTTGCTGTCCCAGGCTCACGCTATCCCTGTGAAAAAAAGATGTACTTGTCAGGCACTGCAGAAACAGCCCCGGGGGGGTCCTTAGAGTAAGACCAGTGCATTGATGGCAATCACGTGCCACACCTTTCACACCGGCTCACTCTTATACAGCGTGTGTGTGGCCACAATCACGGTTTTATAATAAATGTATATTCATTCTGTACAGTTCATTAGCAGCCGTAGAATGTATTTTTACACTCACTGATTTTTTAAAAGTTTTTTTTTTTTTTAACTACGGATTTAGATGTGACGTGTGGAAACCTGCCGTCTCTTGATCGTTTTCGCTCACTCTGTTTTATAACGTTTTTACTGCTTTCATGCCGTAGATCGAGATCGTTTTTATTTAAAAGTCCTCATCTGTATTTTAAAGAAGTTGGAAAAAATACTATCCCACCATGTTCAAAATGCAATATTCTCGTGTTTCAGAATCGGAGAATTTAAATGCAGATTTTGTTTAAACACTACGGACGCTGAGACGCTAATTAGACCAAAGGAATATGGCAGAATACCAGTATAGGCCTACTCTTGGGTACCGCTGATGGAAGTATTCTAATTATTGCTGTTATTATTATTTTTTTGCTTGTTATGATGCATGAATTCCCACCCCGTCACACGTACTGTTCTGAATTTTATGGTTTTTTAATAAAGCATATGTTCATTGGAATTATATTGTTGAGCATTTTTATATTACTGTGTCTGTTTTCTTTGTTTATTTCATAGTCAAAAGCTTTGCGGACTGTATTACTCTCGCGGCTGCTATGCTGGAGGATGAGAGCAATGTAAGATTACAGTGTTAAGACCACAAATATGTAGTGATATTTTAAAATACAATACAATTGTAGGCCTATATGTTACATTCAGACCTTTCTTGTAAATCTGTTTCGATCTTTTCCTGATAGAAGCAGGGTATAGTTTAGTTTGATACGGGGGGCACAACTCCACAGTTTAAATGCGAAGTTCTATTTACTGGAGGACGGGGTCTGTTCTATTTATTGGGGGCTAAACGTCCCCCCGGGTTCCTACGCCCTTGGTTATAGGAGCTCTCTATTTGACACCTGTCGAGTCTGTGATTCGTGGTTATGAAACTCCGAGACATGATTATTGATAATTCTCTTAAAAGTTAACCTTTTCCCTTTATGTTTACCCATACGATATGTCTTTAACTGCTTTTTATAGAATATTTGCTATTCACAAATGCACTGTGAGTTCCCCCCAGCAATGTGCACATCCTAATTGCGATCTTCGTGGGCGGGGCCGTGTGGAGAAGGACCATGAGTAATCGCACCTTTCAACCGGCAAACGAGAGGGAGTCTCCCTAAGTCACCAGCAAACGAGGAGGTGTGGTCTAAAAGTTTACGGGGAGCTGAGGATAATCGGTAAAGGTCTCCATTACGACGCTATCCGTCTTTTTTCAGCCCCTCAGGTCTCATGCATAATTGGATTTTAGGCATTATCTACGGCTATTCAATTGTCTTCTCACAGGAGCTCAAACGCTGAAAGATGATGTTAAAAAATGATCCGGCTATCAGTGCATGCATCATTATGCAGGAAGATCTCAAGACAACAAAACAATAATCGTTGGCCTTTTAAATCAATCGATATGTGCGGGCCGGGGATGGAATACGACAGAGCTCTCCGGTTTCGGGCCTGATTAGTTACATATTGTTGATGATGTTTTGTATTTCTTTCTCGATGCATTTTTCATTATTTTAACCCATCGCTCCTTATATGCTAGAGGAACTCCAAGGACACAGGGGTTCCCTGGCTAATCAGCCCGATTGATTTTACAGCTATGATTTATGGGGAGACGGGAGAGTGATGAGGTGTGGCTTCGGCTGGGAGTCATGTCTCATATTAAGTCGGCCCAATGTGGATAGGGTTAAGACGCTTTACCTGAAATACACACCTGTATGTATGTATTCATGTATGTACGTACGTGTTGGAGTTCTTCCACATCAACGATTTAAGTGTAGTACAATGTAAATTACTTAAGAAAGGCTATTATCCAGCAGAATCTCGCTAGAACCTAATTATTTTAGCCTATATTTAGCCACTCGATACCGCTTGGATATTCAATTAAGCTTAAAAGTAAAATCAATGTAAGTACACCGTGCGTGGATGGAGCGGAGTTCCCTCCAGAGACCGGGAGCAGGAACTTTTGCTCAGTGCCTGGCGGACTTTTTTTTTGTATTTGACTGAGGTAAAACACTCAAATGTGAACAGGGAGATAATTATGGCGGAATTAATTCATTTTTGGGACTTCGTGTTTGACGTGCTGATCAGATAAGCCTGCTGGAACGAGGCGATCTGTAAGGAACGGCGATGCTAGCTAGAGATGTCATGAAGAATAGAGGAATGGAGCAACGTGGACAGGCAGCACACAGAGTCTTTGGGCGAGGTCTGTAGCTCACATGGGAACCGCGCTTCAGGCAACAACTGAAGGAACCGAAGGCGAACCGATGCTGCTGTAACTTAACCTGACCGCACCTGCCTGATACAGCTGGTTAATGACAAGGGTCCCATAAACGGCACATTTAAGCCGTTTTGCATCGGTGAAATATTCAGCTGTAATCAGAGAACATTTAAATAAATTTAGGGGGGAGAAACGTCATTTTATCAACGTCATAACTGCGATCATATAGAGTTGTCCCCTTTGGAGACGAAACTGCGCCCAGCTGTGAAATCGCACTTGTTGACGCCGAAATGCTTTTCAATTATGCCACCGGAGACATTTCAGCAGGCTCGTGTAAAATGGTGTTTGTTTAAATTCCGTTGCAAAAGCACCATGGTGTTTTGCAATTACAGCGAGAGCAAAAAAAAAAGAAAAAAAACGAAAAACAAAATTTGAATACATAGGCTATTAACTTTATATACGGCAGAGATTAGAAATACAGAAGTTATGCGTTTAACATCTCTAAACATCCCGTATATCCTGCTTTTATTACAGCTTTCTTCCCTAGCACTATTTGTAACTACGCTGCAAATTTCTGTAAAAGTGCCGACGCAAGATGCATGATTCAGGGGCAAGATGTGATATTGAATTTGGCTTATTGTGATGGTTACTGAACTTCCGAAAATACAATCTCGGATATTGTATACGGCTTCATTGTTTTATACAGGCAATGCATCATTTAACTCAAATCGGCTGGATTTATTGGCAAATCTGACAGTTTTAATGATGACCCGGTCGCTTTGACGCGTGATTTTTAATGAGATGCAATGTTTCGGACTAACTTTCCTTAATGCATTGAACTGTAGGTGCTGACTTTTGCTGCACATTACTTGGCGGTTCACAACCTCAAATACTTGTTTTTAATGACCACGCCATCTGCTGTGAAACAGGAATCATGTAGTACTAAATTTTGAATGACGTTAACCCACTCTTAGTCAGAATGTGTTATAATACTGTAGGCCTATGCACCATTTGCAATTAAAAAGAGACTCATTCACGATTTTCTGAATCTTAATTAAAACCAACACGGTTTGCAAACCCCTTAATATATGCAGCTCACGTATGACAATAAATCTGAGATGCCACATTTCGCATCGAAACGATTTTTTTTTGTTACTTTTTAAGAAGTATTCTTGTACAGTACTAAGATATCCGCTTGGTCGGAGATACTGTGTAGGGTCCGTGGTTTACTTAACATTTTCCTGTTTTAGAAATCCAAGTGCCGACCCTCCCTCCCTCCTTTTTTATCTTTCTGAAAGCGACGCAGTCGACTCAGCTTGTGCAGAAACCCCCGATCTGTGTGACACCTACCCCCGGGCAGCGCACAGTCCCTCTACAAGCCCTTCCCGGCTCAGGTTGATCAGGCACGCATTGATGTAGGAGTCAGATCCCTCCAGAAGTGCTGGGGCTTTGAAGGCGTCGCCACGTACGAGGAGATAAAGGATTGCGATCGTGTTCATTGTCGGGGGGGATGCGCCGTGTGAGCGCACGTGTAGGTTTTCAAGGAGCAGGCTGTGCAATATGCTGAAGACGGGCGTTTTTTTCCCAGTCAAGTGTAGTTCCGCGGTAAAGCTTTGAAAAGGGCTGAAGTTTCAGGTTTGTGAAACTTGAATTAGCAAGCATCAGCACAAAAAGTTGAGGGAAAAGCGAAAGGGGTTTGGCCCACTAAGTTAATTATCATTAGCGAAATCAAAACGGACTTTTTTTTTCCTATTTAAAAGGGTACCTCACCAACCACCAAGATTTCGCCCAAAAGCAGACAAGAGGATCGCCCCGCGCTGACTAGACTAGTCGGCAGGAAGCGGCTGATCGCTGCCGGGGTGCTGGGAGTCATTATGGTTTTGGTGCTGGTGATCCTCATCCCCGTCCTGGTCAACTCTGCGGGGACATCTGCGCATTACGAGATGCTCGGCACCTGCCGGATGGTGTGCGATCCATATGGGACTAAGTCTCCGACCAGCACGGCCACGGCAGACACCGTGCGGGACAACGGTCTCGTCCAGTCGCTGCCCACTTTCATACAGGGTCCGAAAGGGGAGCCCGGGCGTCCGGGGAAGGCGGGCCCCAGGGGTCCACCTGGTGAGCCCGGACCGCCAGGTCCAGCCGGCCCGCCTGGAGAGAAAGGGGATCCCGGGCGACCAGGTCTGCCAGGACCACCTGGACCCAACGCCGCCGCAGGAGCCATCAGCGCCGCCACTTACAGCACCGTCCCCAAAATAGCCTTTTACGCAGGGCTTAAAAAGCAGCACGAAGGCTACGAAGTGCTCAAATTTGAGGACGTGGTCACTAACCTGGGCAACCATTACGACCCCACGACCGGGAAGTTTACCTGCTCCATCCCAGGGATTTACTTCTTCACCTACCACGTCTTGATGCGGGGCGGCGATGGGACCAGCATGTGGGCTGACCTTTGTAAAAACAACCAGGTAGGCGCTGATTGCGACGAGTCCTTAATAGCAATCCGTCGACTGATACAAACACGGTTAAAGCAATTAGTACCATGAATTATTTTATTAGGTTGTTTGGATTTTTTTTTTTTTAAAGTAAGTAAATGCACTTCCTTGCACAGGTAAAAGGTAAAATCTGCGTCTAACGATGTAGTACGTAACTAGTCTGAAAATTTAAAGAGAAACTGATCGCCCCTAATTAACCAGTAGCCTATAGGCCTAGGATTACCCATAAAATTGATACGATCTCGTAATTAAGCTGCGAAAGGCAATAAAGTTAGATACAGCGTCTTCTCTGTACCGGAACACTGGGTACGTGCAGTTACTGAAGCACCGCGAAAACCGGGAGCGAAAGGCTTGCAAATGAGGGGAATGAAGAAAGGAGAGATGATCCTGAATCTCTCCCACCGAAGACGGGCACCATCGGCGTGCAGCGAGTTGGACGGGCCGCGCAGAGGAAGCAGCGTCCGGATGAACAGTCTGTGCCCCTGATCACCATAATTCAAAGCTGTCACTGAGACATGAGCTTGGCTGGGCTGCGCATGAATTAGATGGAGCTTTTTGCGAGACAGGAACGGGCATTCCCAGGGTAGATACCTTCAGTTAGCTGAACTGATAAATTACGACCCCTGGCAGCAGTTCGTTAGCGCTGTAGGCCTATTACATGACTGGTGGTAAATCTAATAAAGAATTTAAATTAGTTATGTGTTTAACAGACAGGATTTAAACGTAGGCCTATGTTAACAATTATACCTGAAATAGAAATGCTAGTACTAATTAGGTCTATAAGAAATAAACCAACTTTGGTTAATTTAACGTCATTTAATAATAGGCTATATTGTTAAATTACAGTCATAATATAAAAACATCCATCTTCATTTTACGTCAGTGGATGATTCAGTTTTCTACCCCTTATCACACTAACTAAAACATGTTAATAATTTGTAAATGAATATACGCTTAAGTATCTCAATTAGATTACGACAAGTAGGCATACCTTTTTCTCTGCTAACATTAGAATTTTAATCTTAAAATAGTGTCACAAGTTTTGTATGTTTGAATCGTAAATATATTGCCAAAAGTGTTTCACCCAATGAGCTGAGAACCAACATAGTGGTGTAACGGACCGTATAGTTGATCAACGCCCACGGTTCGGCCCTCTGGTGAACCGCGTATTAATGCAAAGTTCAACCATAATAGTGTGAAATACAGTTTTATTACCACTGTTACTTTTTAAAGTAATCATTTCCAAAATCGCGATGCTACGGAAGTCCATAGAAGAAGCGCATGCAGAGAATGAAAGTCATTTAAAAAAAAAAAAAAAAAACGGGGGGATTTTTAGTGGGAAACGCAATAATAACATAACGGCGCGTATTCAATACCATTAAACATAGCATTTTTAGTGGAATCCGCTTCATTTTCTCTTAGTGAACACTTTTGGCACCTCTAATACAACTTTTGTTTTCCTGAGACAACTTTTATTTTGTGATCTCGAGAAAAGGACTTGGACAATGTTGAGATTACGAGAAAAAATAAGTCATAATCTCGACATAATTTAACAGGAATAGATAATAAGAATGATGGATGTCCTCTGTTGTAGGGCTTCCTACAACAGGCTATACAGAGTTGCAGTGAAACATACAGACTCTTGGGTGTGCACGTGAACTGAGCATGTTAAAACTTTAAACGTTCTTTGTGTTCTTTAAGTAATAAAAAGAAGGCAACGTTATAATTGCTGATCCAAAAAAACGACCCGATCCGTGACTAAAACATTGTAATATAATCGGAACCATGAGTTTTGCTATCCATTGCACCTTCTCTTCTGGATTAAAAACGAAAATCTGATGGCATAACATTGTAGAAACGAGGAAAAACTTTTTAAGTGGATCCCCTTAAATGGCTGGAGACCTCAACCCCCGCCCAAACTCAACAAAAAGTTATGCCCTTGATTGTAGTCACTTAGGATAGGTCAAAGTGCCTTTTTAAATTCTATTTATTGCGTACGAACTGATAACAGTTCCGATTTTAAGATCTGCGTAGTATCGGCCCCATCGGTCGTTCCAGATTATTATTTCACAGCTATGCTAGTTGGGTGGTTTTAAAGCGTTTAAAGGCCGCTGTCCGAGGTGCTGAAATAGTTTGCGTCTTTTTCAGTCTTTATCGTCCTAGTTATCAAACAGCAATTTAGAGGGCAGTAGTTACTTTGGCGAGGTGGCGGGGTCATAACCTCCGAAAACGCCTTTTGACACCTTATGTTTTAGTGACCAAGAACACCTCATTATTCGGAGCTAATTTACCCAAGGAAGCCTGTGCTGAAGTAATCCATAGTGATTGATTTTGGAATAGACTGGGTGGATGTTCGGCTCTAGAGACTCAATCACAAGTTGTATCCACGATCTAAAGACATTTTGCTTCAACTTTCTTAGGAAAACTACAACTTTTCATCCTTAATAGAATGCAATGCTTTGCGATTAAAATGTCTGGAGAAAAGCGAATCTAGATAGGGAATCTTGATATGCGTGTTCTGTACAGCGTTTCAATGGTAACACAAATTTAATACAAAACTGATAATGTCAGATTGGATTTTGACAAGCACATATACTGATGCAAACTACCCTTAGTTATATAGACCTGTTGAAAACGTAAGTAATAAAGTCATTTTAAAGTGTAACTATAATATAGAATAATTTTTTTAAAACATGGAACCTTAATGTTTTAAAATAAGCACGGAAATAGATCTTCAGCAAAAGGTCTCTGAGAATAACTGTACAGTCCACTGCAGTGAATGTAGTTTATTTGATGTTATAATGTAACATGTAAATTTGTACTTTTCCTTAGAATATCCCCTGTTCATGATGTTTATTGGGTTAGATCTTTGTTTTTGCGTATAAAGAAAATCACCGTCTTTGCTGTGGTTGTTGCGCTGTGTGACTGTTGCAGAGAGTTTCCTTTAATGTGTGATAACTTATGATTTGGTAATCATGAAATGGCACAAAATTAACACCTCACTTTTCTTAGCAAACTCATCAGAGCATCGAGTGTTTTTGGATGAAAATGACATAAACCTCACGCACAGACCTTATTTAGCAACATCTACTGTCTCGGGAATGGAAATAAACTGTTCAACAGTCGATTTTTGGTTCATGTCCTTGCTGTGTAATGCTATTCATGAGAGAAACATATCTATATGATACGGTGAAATGATTTGGGTAAATGCATTTGCTTAGTTTTGAAATCATCTGTGCATGGGGTGGTGTGATCAGAAGGTTGTCTGTTCAAATCCCATGGCTGGCATTCTGGTGCTGCTGTTGGGCCCTTGAGCAAGGCCCTTAACCCCAATTGCTCCATGGACTGTCTGGCCCAGCACTATGAACCTCAAGCTTGCTTTCAATATATATGTGTCCCTGTGTCTCACAGATAGTGAGATGGGACAGGTGAAAAGATAATTTCCCCTTTGGAATGAATGGAGTATTTCTATTCTATTCTATTCTATTCTATTCTAGTATATATTATTTCTTTAATTTAGAGTTTTCATACAGTGGCTCATAATTAACCATTTAGGTACAATCCTATGTTAACCTTTCTGTGCTTTTTTGAATGTCCCCCACAACTTGTGTGTTTATTTGATCTTTGACTTTTGACTCAATGTCCCACAGGTGCGGGCTAGTGCCATTGCCCAGGATGCTGATCAGAACTACGACTATGCCAGCAACAGCGCTGTGTTGCACCTGGAGCCTGGGGACGAGGTTTACGTGAAGCTAGACGGGGGCAAAGCCCATGGGGGTAACAACAACAAGTACAGCACCTTCTCTGGGTTCATCATATATGCCGACTAATGGGAAATTGGCCCAGCCCCCGGCTCCGCCCACATCCTCCTCCTGACCAATTGTTATCCTCCCTTTACATTTGTCCCGCCCCTAACCTGAGGGAAGAGGAGCAGGGACTGGCTGAAACTTTTGCCATTTTGTTGAAAGGCGGGTGAGCAGGAGTGGCCAGGTACGTCTTTGAATGGCTGGAACAAATCACAAAAAAAAAAAAAGAAAACTACAACTGCCTGGCGGAAGAAGAAGAAAATAAAAATGAGGAAAAATTGGTTTGTGGGTCAGCAAGTGTTGGCAGTCTAGCACCAAAGCAGTCAATGGAGTATTCCTTACTTTGTGTCAGATGTAAGCCTATTAATGTGAGACTTTTTTTAAAATAAAAAGATATGTGCAATAATATTAACAGTATTAGTAACCCTAGACCCAATATTCTTGCTGTTCTTGTCATGACGATGCTAAAGACAATATTCCAGACATCCATGTTGTATATGTTGCCTGGCAACCATGATGCTTAAAGCCAGCTGTTGCGTAACTTTGGAGGGATGAGATATGATGCTTAATGTGGTTAAAGTGCTATATATTATATATATGTATATAGACATAGATATATCTATATATATATTCTTTCTCCTTGTATTGATCTCCTTTGCGTGATGACCTTTATTAAATGACAAGGCGATGGAAAGCTATCAGCGTATGGGTGAGACTCCCAAACTGCGCTGTGATTGGTTCCCTGTTCAGAGGAGGAGTTGTCCATCCTCCAATCACAGCACCTGGAAGGATCCACTGCCTTTATGCTTGTAGAAACGAAGGTGCTGAATTCGAGTAAATGATCGGGCTTGGAACACACATGTAGGTATTGTCACTGAGATTGTACTGAGGAGTATTAATAGGTTTTTCAAACATTACAGATACAGGCAACAGACAAGACCAACTGTAGTCTTGATAAGTAATGCATTGGAGTTGCTTCTTGAGTAAATTAAAGAAAGAAAAACAGAACAGTATCACCTGCTGCATTCTCTATACAGTGGATGGAATTTACTTTTAAAAAATCCAAGTGGTTTCCCAGCAACTGGGGTGACGATTGATGAACTGGTTTTTTAAACGTCACTCTTGGTTCGATACATTTTGGCTCGATGCCCCATTCCTGGAAAGCAATTAGAAATTTCAAATAATTATTTTGGACTTTGACCCTGATTTATAAAGGCATTTAATTTAAGGTAAACTGTAGGAGGTCCTTGCATTGGCGTCCAGTTTGTCCGATCTGTCTTCTTAATGGCTAAATAGGTCTCAGGATTGACCGAAAAGTTTGAGAGCTGATTTTTCATTGGATGCCACTGATATCGGCAGTAGGTCGCCAGAGCTGAGCTTACATGCTCACACCTCTCTTTAAAACCCTGGAAGTAGCGCAAACTAAAGTGTGGAAACTTCCGAAAGCTAAATGGACTCTCGCAGTGTGTGCCGCCAGCTGCTTAACACATTCCTTCTTCCGTTATAATTTATTTTACGGTGAATGTGCAAACATCTGAAAACAAGGTGACAGAAGCGATTACTTTAATTGTATTATTACCCAAGAGTGCCTGTCACACCTTTATGCTGAGCTGAAAATTTATTACAGGGATAAAATGCTGTGTCCGTAAGATGTGACGTAGATGAAGGCTAGAATATGTTTTTTTTTCCATCCCAGAGCGCCTGTATATCAGTCACTTATGCTGTTATCATTAAATGGATACCTTTGGTTAAATGACTGTATTTTTCATATCGGTGCTTCCCCACGTTTATTAGCGTAAAATATTGTCTTCTGTGATCTTCACGCGGAGCGAAAAGTGCGTGCATGGTTCGTCTGTGACTCTCACATGTTGGCGAGTGCGCATGCGCGCGCCTCTGCTGTTAAATAAACTTGCTGAAATTTCACTTAGATGTGGACTAAACATTTGAAGGATTAGAAGCTGAGCAATTCACATTTAGCCTCCATTTTTTAAAATAAGAAATTGGTTCCCAACTGGGCCATCATTCACTTGTGTAATTACTGCGCTCAAGCTTTTAGGCACGGATGGATACGTCGCATGTGAGGCTGCGAAAAAGGGAAATCCGTGCATCCCATAGCCTAATAAGAAGTATATTTAATGTAATCATTATATTGGGGGGTTATTATTATCCGAAGGGGGTTATCGGTTCACGGAAAAGCAGAGATGTGCTTTATCCCGTCGGACCCGCAAGATGAGCCTAAGCTCATTAGCGAACAAAACGTGGCCTTTTCACCCGCCTCGCGGCTGCCGGACCGACACTAATGGTCTAAGTTGAGACCTTTAGCGCAATCGATTGCTTGCGATGCCGTCTTTCATATTTTAGCGTCTCTGCGAGGCTGATTTAAAAAAATAAATAAATATATATATATATATATATAAAATATATATCATATATATATATATATATATATATACATATAATCTGTAATGATTCTTTTGAATTGCGAACATGAAAGCCGCAGAACACCTGAGGGAAACCCTTTGACCAGAAGGTGTAATTATGTATGGCGTTGCAACGTGTTTTAAAACGATATCATTTATACCCAATCCGCGAAGTACGACACAATTGATTTTCTTTTTAAAATGAATACAGCGCAGGCCTATTGCCTATTACTTGCAATTTAAACAGGCCTACTAAACATGAGCATTTCCATGTCAGACTGTCCTATTGGCACCAGGTGAGGTGTATTTGAATATCTTATAAAAAATACACGCTAATGTAAGGGTAATTTAACTTGTGTATTTCATTTGGTATGCAGGCCATAGTGTCTATTTCGATGAAGAGAGTCTGATTAACTTTCGTGAATTATGACTTATCCTCCTCATTGTACCTTAAAACGGACCATAAATAAAGTGAAACCCTACAAGACCATTACCCTGCTATCAGAGACCCCACAGAGTGGTTTGGTGGGGGGGGGGGGGAATTTAGCCCTCCTAAAATGACCTAAAGAAGTACATTTGTTTCTCATTCATTTTCATTAAAATCAGTCCCTCCTATAGCAAAGGTGTAGCCCCCTCTCTAATGACTCCCCAGCTTTAAGGACTATGTTGATTGTACAAACTCTGAGCGATGATACCCATCTTAGTGGAAGATTCACTGATCTGGGCTTTTAAATGTCTTTCAGCGTAGAAAAACATACTAATAAATGTGTGTTTTGGCCAACCAAATACTTTCCACTTGCCTATTTGTAATAACTTTTCAGTTAAAAAAAGAAATAAGATGGTCGAAGATTAAATTTTCAAATTGCATATGTTAGGTTTTTTTTTAAAGGCTTTGGTTTTAATATCTATCCTGCTTTAATTACACTTAAACGCTAATTGCCAAAAAAGTAGAAGTGTTAATTTTAAAAAGGTCACTTAAACTCACATGGAGTTTTACCAAATGTCATGACACCTTGCTCGGCCTGTGAATGAGAGCTATCCCTTTGAATGTTGCTTGATTAAAATCCGAGGAAACGGGGGGGGAAAGGAAAAAGGCCAAAGTCAAGCACTTAGGGGTCTTGTAAAGAGAACGTGTGCCTGGTCTTGATTTTTACCGTATTGGAGCTGTGTTAGCTGGGGATCCCAAAAATAGCAAATAAGAGAAAACGGATTTATGGTTTTTAATGAGCTTAAACCGCTGACAAATGTACTTTGTCTGCCCAGTGGGAGGCAGAGTTTACAGCCATGGAGCCACAGAGGTCCGTTTTCCACCCGACTCGTTTGATGGCTTTATTTTCTCACTTTTGTATGTGTCACCGTGTTGACATTTCAGTTTTACACCACGCCTAGTGTCTGTGTTGCTATTAAGTGCGATATAAACACGCGGGCTGTGCGAAGCCACATCTCTCAGGGATTCCCATCAGCTCCGGTTTAACTGCAGCGAGGGCCCCGGAAGAGGGAAGCGCCGAAGTCAGTGAGCAGTGATGGCAAACGAAACACCACACTGCTTAGTGTGTTCTAACATCAGCACGAAAACTAGTCACTATACACACAACAGAGACTTTGCACCTGACGGTATCATACCCTATAGTTATATTCAAATTATGCTTGACACACTGCTGCTTCGTGTTAAATCTACTAGTGTTTATGTAGGTCTCAGTACCAATATAGAAGAAACGGACCTATAACTTAAATATAAATAAACATAACCTAAACCTCACCCAACAGTTATGGGGCCAGATAAAGCATTGTCAGCAGAAACCTAAAAAATAAAATGTTGTGAATATGCTTTTTATCCATGCTTTTTCTATCAATCCATGGCAGATGAATATACTGCTTTTACGCCACATTTTTTTTCTTATTTGGTTTAAAATCCGCAGCGCTTAATGTGGGAACACTAAGATGTCAGACTGTCAGCGTGGTGCATAATTGAAGTCCACGGTTTGACATTCATTTGGGATTTTCATACATTTTAACCTGAAATGATCCTGAATTATTTATCCTGTCCTGAATTGTCCTGTCTTATCTCCTGCGTGTTTTCTGGTGCATGCATTTCTGTGCGTCTTTTAGGACGAGGGAAAATCAGGCAGTTGCTGAGGTGAATCTTTAAAAAAGGCCTTGATCCGTATTTATTTTGAGTAAGCAGTACGGATCTTCCGTGGGACAAATGCTCACAGAATTAGCAGTTTTAAACAAAAGGTATCTTGAAATTTTCTCTCTCTCTCTCTCTCTCTCTCTCTCTCTCACACACACACACACACACACACACACACGTATTTTACTTCAGTTTCCACCCCAAAGTTTCATTAACGGTAAAGGGATGGGGTGGTGGTGGTGATGGGGGGGGGGGGGTTGGTATCGTGGACAAATTCATTACGAAAATGCCACAGGAGAAGCCTGCTAGTCCCTGAGTCAAATATCTGGCAGACATTGTAATAACATTCTGTGACCCCAAGGGCTGAGGATTTTACTGAAGACAAAGCCTGGTGCTCTGTAATAGTGTTACCCAGGGATGGGGTTACAGACACTCTGCTGCACAGCTCATTAGGGACTACAGACTCACTACCCACGCTGCTGTGCGTCATTTATTTCAGTTTACAGACCCTGCTGTCGGTATCAGCGCTGTACTGTCATGTTTATTTGGGTTTTTAGAGCCCAGTGTCAGTACCGACTCTGTGCTGTACTGTGTATTTGGGTTTACAGACTGCCCTGTCAGTATTGATGCTGGTCTGTACTGTTGTTTTTTGTTTTTTTTTTAGTTTTCAGGCCTAATGGTCAGTACTGGATGTGTGATTTTGGGCTTACACTGTAATGACAGCAGGGACTGTGACACAGTGTCAGTATTGGCACAATCTATCAGAATTTCTGGACCAGACCGAGTATTGTTGCTGTGCAGTATTCGGGTTTACAGACCTTGCTGGTTTGCACTGTTTACTTAGGTTTACGAACCTGACTGTCATTATCGACGCTGTGCTGTATTGCTTATTCGGGTTTACAGACCTTGCTGGTTTGCACTGTTTACTTAGGTTTACGAACCTGACTGTCATTATCGACGCTGTGCTGTATTGCTTATTCGGGTTTACAGACCTTGCTGGTTTGCACTGTTTACTTAGGTTTACGAACCTGACTGTCATTATCGACGCTGTGCTGTATTGCTTATTCGGGTTTACAGACCTGCTGGTATTGACGCTGTGCTGTACTGTTTATTAGGGTTTGCAGACCTGCTGGTATTGACGCTGTGCTGTACTGTTTATTAGGGTTTGCAGACCTGCTGGTATTGACGCTGTGCTGTACTGTTTATTAGGAAGTACGGCAGTGTTAACAAGCAGGATAACATCAGTAGCCATGTCTGCAGATACCTGTTATTCCTCTAGCTTGGCTGAATCTCTGTTAATCGTGCAGTTTGAAATCGGGTGTCTAGTCAAACCTAAACATATTGGTGTTTTCAGACGGGCTGTACCAAAGTGCTGCTGACTCTTATCCTCCCTCAGTCATGTGAGTCTACATGCAGGTGGTCATTGGCTACGGCTGTACTCTCCCGAATCACATTACCCATAATGCACTTCTCGGAAACTTTGCAGACAAATAGTTGCCCAGGCCTTCGAGGAATGTCTCAAAGTTTTTAGCTAAAAGGAATCGGCAGATATGCCAGTGTTTGTCACAAATGTCTTCATCATTGTTGTCTGGCTTGAGTGTTGGCGGATGAATCGGACTCGGGGCGGGTCCATCTGTATACTGACGCTTTTGAAGTAGAGTTGGGGGGGCAGATTAATCCACCCAGTCTGATCG